CAGATAAATTAACCGAATAGCTAATTCAGCGGACGGATTAAACTTGAATTTTTTAATTCTAACATATAAATTTAGCCTATTTGATCTAATTGAGATTGTGAACGTAAACTGCGATAATCCCGTGTGTACTAAGTTAAATTAATCTATGTGAAGCTAATTAAATATAATTGGCGTAATTCAAATATTTAGCATAAATCATTTGGAACATAACGAGGCCATTAGCATTTTAAAGCTAACATTTCACCAAACAATTTCCAAACTTTGCGGTAATCAACTTTACTCCCATAAAACGACACAAATTTTAATTTTTGGCTATCTGATGTGCTTCTTTTTTGAGCTCCACTTTAACTGAGGACATATTTTGTGTTCTTTCGAAAGTAAAACAACAAACACTTTATTTCATCAAGAAAAAAAATTCAAAATTTACTAAAAGAACAGCAATAATAGTTCTTTATTATGGAAAAGATAGTAACAGAAATAAAAATAAAAATATATAAAGAACATCTAATTTTGTCATCATAGTAAATTATAATTGATGAGTTCAAAGAAAAAAAAAAGTTTTTAAAATCATCCAAATAAAAAGATTTTGCAATAGAGAGAGAGGGAGGGAGAAAGAGAAAGAAGAAAAGAGAAAAGGACCGGTACTTTTCAATACAAAAGCAGTAATTCTTCACACAACAGTGATGTTTTTTAAACTTCAAATTTCTTTTTGCTTAAATGATACTTAATGAAATCGTTATTGAAACAACTGTAAGGTAAAGGAGACTTTGTAGTGAAATATGCAATGATTTCGTACCATAAAAAATTTTCTTTTTTAAATACAATAAACATTTGAAGTTCATCGTTGAAACAACAACCTTTTCAAGGAAATTTTCGATAAATTGCTTTTACAAAACAACGGAAATTCAACAAACACTTCTTCTTATACCGCAATTTTTGTTATTCCATAATTGCAAGCATAAAAGAAGAAAACTCGGAAAGCCATATGACCTGTTTATTGGACAACACCGGAGAGTTAAATATTTCGAAAACTAATCTACTAGATAAAATGGATTAGAGAGAGGAAAAAGAATTGGAAAAGGGAAGAGTTAAATTTTCAAGTTTTGAATTCCGATCAAAAATTTTGTCAACATTATCAAAACATAATGAAAAGGCACACTATTCAAAGTAGGAAAAATCAGAAAATTCACGCATTACTTTTTTTGATTTTTCTTCAATTTTTGTAATTTTTCAGCAAATTATCGATGAAGAAGTGACTGCATACGGATGAAATTCACAAATGTGACATATGCGCCTATACCGAAAAAAAAAACGAAAAAATGATAACCATATCTTCCTAAAATAAAACAACAAGAGAGAAAGAGGGAGAGAAAGGGGGAAAGGAAAAAGTTATACAAGAATTGAGAGAACACAAACGTACAAGGAGTAAAATCAAGACCTCGCACAACGTGAACCTGTATTAAAATTTACAGTTCAATTTAAAAAAAAGAAATTGAGAAATAATAAAAAAAATTAAGGAACAATAAAAAACCACCATCAACAACGAGGTATATACAAATAAAAAAAAGAAAGGAAAAATGACTCATACAATTAAAAAAGAGAAAAAAATTACACCAAGAAAAAAAATTTTTTCAGCGCAAAAGAAAAATGGTCGCAAAAATTAACAATTTCGGCGAAAATGGATAATTTGTGCATGAAAAAATTAATGCAGTCTTTCTAAGACAATTACTTATTTGTTCAAAAAAAAAGATCGGAAAAAAATTCTTTTTTTTGTCAAATCACACAAGGAAACTCGAATTATCATCGATACTTTACATTTGAGATTGAAATGCAAAAACCGGAAATGCATGGGAAAATATAATTAATTAAGTAAAAATTGGTTTTTAAAAATGAAATTTATTTCTTCTAATTCGGGATAGCAATTCGGGCTAATGTTGGCACAAAACTTTTTAGGCGTGTCATTCAAGAAAAAAAAGAAAGAAGAAAGAAAAGCAGAAGTCAGCTAATTGAATTTTTAATAATGAAAAGAGGAAAAAAAATCAAATCATAAAATAGATCAATGCTTTAATGGTAGAAAATTTATGCAACTATTTTAATGCAATTTTTGACTTTTTTTTAAATAAACAATTTAGAGTACAGAAGTAGGAAATTATTGCTGAAAAAAAGAAGATATGGCCTTATCAACAAATCATTATGATATCCAGACGAATCGAGATAGTAAGTCAGTTTTAATTCTTCATGAATTAACAATTTAAATCATACTGTATTACTAATTGAATTGCATTGAATGTAATGATAATTTGAAGGGCAGAACAAATTACTTTCTACAATTTGTTAAAAAAAATCGATTAATTCATATATAAGTTTGCCCAATAAGTATTGAAATCATTCGTGGCTTAAAAAAGTCTAAGCTATGAATGACACAAAAAAAATAAGTGTAATAATTTTTTTTTAAAATTTCTGTAAACGAAATTTTTACTTATTCAAATTTTTTCTGCAAACAAAAAGCTTTGAAACATTTTTCATCAATTTATTTTTCATGAAGAAAATTAGATGGAAGATCGTACACATATAAAAAACAATAGCAAAATAAAACATCAACAATTGAGAAGAAAAGAAAAAAAAACACCTAAAAAAGAAGTAAAAATATATTTTGAAAAAAAAAATCACCGGTACAGTTCACGTCGGCAACCTGCCAACAAATATTTGCCTTGCCGAATAGAAGTAAACAATAAATAAATTGTTTTGATAAACGTATATTGGAATCACTGAGAATTAAGTTGGCCCAGCAAAATGTGTAATGTAACAAAGTAATGAAAATGAAATAAAATTTAGAAAAAAGAGAAAGAAAAAAATTTCATAAATTTAAAAAGAAAAAAAGAGGATAAAGTGTCAAGTAATACTTTTACAATACCAACGAGAGTAATAGCAAAATCAAAAAGATATAAATAAATCTGATCCATTTCTAAACTGGGATTGATTGAATTGAAATGATAAAAATTTTATCTCATCCTTTTTTCCTCAATGTGAAAAGGGCAGAGAACGGGAGAGAAAGAGGGAGGGAGGGAGGGAGGGAGGGAGAGAGAGAGAGAGAGATAAAAACAATGATGAAATTTATCATAATGATAGAAGGATGAAAGATTGGTATAATTGTGGCAGGTAAATCATGCACAAAATGATAATATTGATAATGATTAAGAAGTGTAGAAACATCATGGATGTAAAACGATGGTAAAAATTGACAGAAAGGATAACGGAACAATATGCGTCGGAGAGAGAGAAAAAAAAGCTAACATAATGCATATAATTCATTATATTCGTTTCCTATCTAATAATTACTATTTTTCGTTCATTTTTTTTTAAATTATAGAACTAAGAAAGTGAACCGTAATAGTAAGAGAAATTAGAAAACTATGATTAAAACTTGCTTCCAAAAAGCCTAAAACCCGTGAAGGCAGAAATTTGTAAGGGAATAATGTTGCTATTTGTTTAAATTTCTAAATAAAAATTTTATAGTCACATTTCTTTTTTTTTCTCGCGCAGAATGTTTCCTAAGAAGTATAATTATAGCTCTATAGGTTTGAAAAAAAAAGAAATTTTTAGCGTCTAAAGGAAAAATGAAAAAAAAAATGAATGAAATTTTCATTTCATTTCATTTCTATTTCACGTTGATGAAAACGAATAAATGCACGCAATATATGTATGAATAATTGAAATGATAATGATAATTTATTTCAATTTTTCTCCTTTTCTCTGTAATATCTTTCAAATTTATTTGTTACTAAAAATTTTCCTTCTTTTTTCTTGTGATCTATAAAATGAAATGAAATCTATAGAGGGGAATTGGGGGAAGAAATTTAACCTAAGTTTTTTTCTTTCTTCGATAATATTACGAAATATAGTAACCATGCATATTACTATCCAATCATTATCTCTCTCTTTCAAAACAACCAACCAATTCTTTTCCATTCGTTTTATGATTATTGATAAAAAGAATGATAAAAACCAAATAATACCCTATATTTTCTTTTTTAAAATCATAAATTAGAAAGAGTGGAGGAAAAATGAGAAAGTGAGAAAAGAATTAGAATGGAACTTTTTTTTTCGTTTCAACTTTGAAGCAAAAATGAAAACAAAAAACACAAATAAATGAACAAAATTGTTGCTGTTTAACGAATCAAAATTGAGGAAAAAAAATAGGAAATTTTTCAACAGAGATCCAATGAAAAGAAAAAGATTGAGTTAGTTTATTTGTGTTGATACTTTGCAAATTTTTAACGAAAAAAAAGAAGCCAAAAAAGAGAATTTGTTTCGTTTTGTTTTTTTTTTGTTTTTTTTTTGTTTATAATAGCTTAAATTGAGTTGGTTTAAGTGGGAGACAATAATGAAACGTTGACAGCGACGATGACAATGATGATAACGATGATGACGAAGATACAATTCGTATATTCGATTCCTGAGTGTATTAATTATAATAATTAGTAACATTCGATATAATGCATTTCATAAAGTACATTATGATGAAAACACCACAGGAATCCCTGAAAATAACTATTTGACATTCATTTACACACATACACACACACACACACACACACACACACACACACACACACACACACACACACACACACATACACAGATATATGTATACTTCACATAGGTAAATTAAAAATGGATATAAATTGGGTCATCTTAAGCGCAACAATTTAACGATAAAATTTGCATCAATCAACAAAAGGAACTGGGAAAGAGGGTCAGGGAGAAGAGAGGGAAGAGAGGAATCGATCAAAAAACATTTGATTCAACGAATTAATTAGCAATGTTTAAATTCAAGTCCAAAATGTGTTTCTTTTTAAATTGCTTAATTTATAAATTTTTCATCAATATTTTTTAAACTCTCTGATCGTAATGATATTTTTTTAAATTTTATTCCAAAAAAAAAAAAAACTACCATTCTCCAATGTCTTAATTATTTTCCAAATGAATCTTTAGGCACATTAGGAAAACATAAATGTTGACTGCGCTTCGCTCTTAATCGGAAATGATAGAGAAGCACCGGAGGATGAGAGTTGTGATTGGGTATTTGTTGTAGAGATTGACATCTTCGGTGTTCCCGGTATATGTTCCGGATCCAGAAACGGATTATTGGTCGTTGTTGCTGTTGTTGTCGCTGTGCCACATAGACTTAGAGGTAGTAAGGGTGATAAGCCAAAAGCTGCTGCTTTTATAGCTGCAGCTGTTGCAACACTAACAATTGGCATTTGGGAGGAAAAAAGTGCCGGATTTGAGAGCAATCCATTTAGTAATGGCATTTTGGCACCCAGTAAAGATGCCGGTAATGTTGCTGCGATTGGGTTAACCCGATTAGCAACTTCGGCTAATTGCTGCAGTGATGTTAGTAAACCCTGAAGATGAAATTTTTTGAAAAAGGAAAAATATTAATTAATTAATTAAAAATATAGTAAAATAAAGTGCTTATGGAAGTTTAGTTAAATATTGTATAATTGGTTGTGCAATATTTAAGGATAATAACAACACATATTTTTCGGAAAATTCCAAACAAACCAAACGGATCAGTGAAGTAGTATTTATAATAAGCGGATTCGTATGTTTGATATCATTATCGATTATACATCTCAAGTGATCTTAAGGTGCTTTTTCTAGGTTAATTGAAAAAATTAAACAAAATAAGTGGTACCTGTTGGTAAAAATAAGCATTAAGCAGATTCTGCGTATATGATTTATAATCATCGGTGGTAAAAGATGATGAATTGAAGGCAGCACCCACAAATGCTGCTGAACTTGTTGGTGTAGATAAAGCAAGTAATGGATTTTGATTGGTATTATTATTATTATTTGTTCCGGAAGTACCTAATACGGTTGCTACCGCTTCTGCTGCTGAAGTTGATTTCGACAAATGATGGCTTAATGCTGAAGTATATGATGGTTGTGGCTTGAAAACTGATTGTGTTGAGATCTGCAAGTATATTTGATGATAAGCAATTAGAGGAATGATAATAATCATTAAAATAATTATTAGAATGTTTATATTTTTCAAAATATTTCATAAATAATATTTTATTCGTCGATAATGTTATTTAAAGTAAACAGGGAAAGATATTTTAATTGCTTACCAACATCGAATCCGTAGTAGCATTGGATCGAAATTCATTGATACCGCTATGAGTACCATCAAATGAACAATGAGCAGGACTTGTACTCCCACTATGATCACTAATTCCACTTCCATCTGTGAATCCATTAATATCAGCTCCTACTAAAAAATGTCAATTAAAATATTTTTTCGGATTTTTTTTTTAATGAAACAATTTTTTCCATATTTCAGATTGTTAGAATAGATAAGCGAATAAATTGTACTGCAAATAGTCGTGGAAATAAATTCACAAATTCAAAAAAAAAAAAAAAATGATACAGTGAATCAATCAGGGTCATTTATCCGTTCAGATGACTAAGCGCATTATGGCTGCTATGGATTTTGGTATAATAATAACACGCTAGTATATTTATTTATGAATTCTTTTAAAGACAGTTATCAAAGTTCATGATATCAAAAGCTAAATTATATTGCTTGCTATTCGCTAATAATTCATTAGTTTATAAGTTTACAATAAATTAATTTTATCACTTACTCAATAAGTAAACTATCAAGAATGTTGTTAAAATAAACCACCTTCGTAAGATACATTAGCAGCAAAATTCGTTTATGTTGAAATAGATTGCTAAACCTTTCAAAAACAAAACTTATGCATGATCCGAAGATACATACATTCGAATACTAAACGGAATACACCTCAATGACTCTTAATAAATAGGCTCTAAGGCTTATTAGTTGTGGCACAACTGGCTAAAATCCTTAGCAAAAAAAAAATATCTGTCGTTAAATTATATTTTTATAAGGTATTATCAGATGATTTAATATATTGTTGGAAATGAGAAATTAATAATGAAAAGATTACTGAAATCATTATTTAGAATGATGAAATGAGTACCACAATTTAGGATACCATTGGTGGTACCATCAACTGATGATAGACGGCCATTAAATTGTCCACCTGCTGCAGCTGCGCTTGTTGATGCTGCACGAGCGCCTGATCGATTTGTTACTCGGTTGCGTCGTCGTAATGTTTGCTTATCACCTAACTCCGGTACAACTGTCCAGAAATGACCTAAAATTTTATATCCATTTAAATAAGGCATAAATTTAGAGAATATGAACAGAATTGGTAGGGAGAGATATGAGCTACGGAGACAGATTAATTTCAATTTGTCACCTTAAATTGAAAAATATTACTGACACCTGATATATTCATCGAATTTCAAAGAAAAAAAAATGAAATTAATAAATTTGCAGGAGAAAAACACCAACCAACAACACCGCTAGCAGATGTTTGTTTTAGAGGTAATTTAACGAAGCAATCATGAAGACTCAAATTATGACGTATTGAATTTTGCCAACCCCATTGATCCGGTCGTAAACGATAATACGGATGCGTCATACGGATTACCTATAATTTGTTAATATTATTTAACAGATTAATTTACATACAAAACATATATTATAAATAATAGATTAAAAATTTTCAAAAAAATCAATGACTTTTGAAAATGATAATCATTTTTGTTTTTCCTTTTTTTAACACTTAACTAAATCATAAAATTTGAAATCAAGATTTAAAGAAACATATGAATTAGTGGATGTAAACCTATCTAATAACTCCTTCTGGATGCAAAATCGAATTAGCTTGTATAATTTTTATCATACAACTATTACATTTCAAAAGTGAGAAGGAAAGAAATACATTCTGTCATAATAAATTGTGACTTTTCATTATTTTCTTTCTTATATTCTCATCATTCATTCCACGACAGATTTTGTTCCATGTAATCTAAGTAATAAACAAAAAATTATTGTAATAATAAAAGTACGAAAAAGTCAAAAAAGAAATATAACTGAAAATTTTT